TTTTAGAGTGGTGCTTCTAATCACAAAGCTTTATTTCTCTTATTTATTCCCAATTTGAAAGCCCCATTTGTAACAGTGACCTTTTCTACCAGTGTAAGGCTTAGCAAGAGCCAGAAAATAAAAAAAAGATAATCTTGTAAGTACAGGGTCACTGCGCAGAGGCTGCCCTGTGGGACGACTGCGGCTCCTTGCACGTGACGGAGCATGAATATTACAGCCAGCCAAGCCCACCCCACACAGCTCTGGCTTTCTAAATCCAAATTTGAACCCAAATCCAAGATTTTATATAACAATAGAAGAGTTGTTTTGTCAGCAGCAGAGGTCTAAGATCTGCAGGAATGAGAATACTGCAGGTGACAGAGCTAGAAATGAACGGGTGCACACTTTCCATGGAACCGCAAGTGACAGTTTTTTGAAAACTATTTGCCGAAGGGAACTTGAGCTGGTCCTGTCCCCTCTGAGCTGCTCTGTAAGAGCCAAAGAGGTGACAAAACCGGAGGCTGGGCTCTGGTTCATGCTAAAGCCTCTGTCCCACCAGTCACCCTCAAGCTAAAGTTGCCCTCAAGCTAAACAGCCTTTGAAGCAGGTCAACACCTACCTGAGCCCAACGGTTCCCAAGCGCGGTTGGGAAATGAGGGTGGAAGCCCTGATACGCCCATTGCGCAAAGTGAGGGGAAAATCCATCCCAACAAGCGGTGCTCCAGCTGTCAGTCCTGGGGCATTTATGTTACTCCCATTCCCTCCTCCCAAAAGGGTCGGCAGACAGATGGTGCGAGTGCCCGTGTGTGCGGGCACGTGGGTGCTGCAGCAGCGGCCGTCCTTTCCATAGACGCCTGCCCAGGGTGCGCAGCGCTCCCAGGGGAAGCAAGGCTGACTGGGACGCTCTCAGTTATCCTGGGGAATTGCGTGGCCAACAGCCTAATCCTGACTTGTGCCAAAGTCTCCTCATCTGCCAGGTGGTATAAAGGAGCCCAAATAGTCCCCTCATTCCTTTCACTGCCACCATGATGCAGGGCACCTACACAGACACCCCATCAGAAAAGAAAAAAAAGTTTTTTTCTGTAATCTCTGAGCTTCCGACGCTCTCAGTTATCCTGGGGAATTGCGTGGCCAACAGCCTAATCCTGACTTGTGCCAAAGTCTCCTCATCTGCCAGGTGGTATAAAGGAGCCCAAATAGTCCCCTCATTCCTTTCACTGCCACCATGATGCAGGGCACCTACACAGACACCCCATCAGAAAAGAAAAAAAAGTTTTTTTCTGTAATCTCTGAGCTTCCCATTTAAATCCATCCTCACCCCCCCCCCCCCCACACTCCCCAACCCCAGGCTGTATTTCCAGGCTGACTCACCCACAGCTAGTGCTTTCCACCCTACTGCCCAGCTCTATCTGTATGGAAAGAACTGAGCCACAGAGCGTCGGGGCCATGCTGGTCTGTCAGAGGTGCCATTTTCTTTGCTTCTAGCCTGGGAGTTGTGGTGGCTGGGGGGGGACAGGGAACACGACACAACCCTCCCCTCTAACTCCCTCTCAAATCTTTAGTGCCAGCACGTATGGGACTGGTGGCGTGTGTACAGGCTGCCCTGCCCACCACCACATCTACACAGGCACCTTTCGCACGCAGCCTTACCAGCTGTGGGACAGAAAGGGAAAGGCATTTCCCCATTAACCCAGGAAATAATTGGAATGAGATCATTTCATACAATTCCTGCAGTCAAGAAATGCATTTTCTACCAAATCAGCGGTACAACCGGGGTTAACACAACCTTTCTCTGTGCAAAGGAAAGGATTTCTGGGCTGAGCTTAAGCTACCTGAAACAGCCCCACACAGTGGCTCCTACTCGCCGGGATTTATTTCCATTGCTCGCTACCTGTGACAGATGACCTGTTTGAAAGCAAGCTGTAAATACTCTGCTACATCTGAGTGAGTGGCCATGTAAGAATCCCTCCTGGCTATTTTGCAGAAAAAGAAAAATTTGAAAAGCGCTGAAGAAAGAAACTTAAAAGTAGTTGTTTTCAGTCAATTACAGTACAGCAAGTCAATCAGATCCAGCATCCACATCTGTTTGAAGTAACCCTCAGGTAGATAATAACAGCTAAGACAAGTATCACTGAAAGAGATTAGGAAAAAATAAGCTGTTGTTCTCTTTCATTTAGCGTGTTGCTTTATGCCTCCGACAATGGCTGATACACACTCGGGTATCTGCTCTTGAAAAGTTAGGCACTGCTCTTCCATTGTGCAGGCTAGGATAAGGGGAAGGAAAACATTTACAAATAGGAGACTGCATTATAAAATCCATAAAAACTGACAGTGCTGTGGACAGATACCATTGAAGGACTAGAGAATTAATTATAGCCAGACAAAACACTTGTGCTGATGCTCTCACCTACTGCTTTGTGCTGACAAAATGCAGTTTGTGCGTGGAAATACCTGCTTTCCCCCCCAAACCTGTAATTATTCTTTAAAAACCCTGACCCTCATCTTTCACCACATAATTCGTTGAATACTTGCCGTGATTTTGCCATGTACATTTGCCCAACTTCTTTCACCAAGCCAGCAGCCATCCCCACTAACACAAATACGCGAGCTAGGGCCAGCCAGGTATTTCTGCTGCTCAGATTAAAGCAGCCAAACAGTTCTGCTCTCAGTTTTGCTTTTTTTAACCACGGTTAACCTTTCTTTGGCAAAGAGACAAAAATCTGCCGAAGTAGCTCAGGGGCACTACTCTTCCAGAGGCAACGCGCACATTTACAGGCTGTGTTCGCAACACTTACTGGGGAAAATGAACCGGTTGGCCAGACGCTCAGCACCACCCAGGCCCACACGCTGCAACAAAGGTCAACTACTGTCACAGCAGGAAACATAAGGGCCATTTTTGGTAATTGCAACTCAAACCAGAAGCTCCGAAAAAAAAAAAAAATGCCCATTTGTGAAGCTGCAGTTTGTTGAGTTTTCCATCAAGAAGCACTGTGTTCACGAACCCTTTGTTTGCCCTCTGTTATTCAAGACACGGCTAGCACAGCTCAGCACGGCTCAGCCTGGCTGCATGTCAGAGCCCCCGCGTAAGGTAGCTTCCCTTCTGGCCTTCATGCTGCCTCACTTCAAGGAACCTCTGCATTTCCACGCTACTTAATGTATCACACTTACAGTCAACAATTAAAATGAATAAATAATTCAAGTTTTGTAAGAAATAAAATGCTAAATTGTTAAAAACCACAATTATTTACATTTTGATTATTCGACGGGCTTGTTTCCAACACTGGTACTACTTAATCACCAGAGAAACAAACAGGACTCACCTTCCATGAGCAGTTACATCCCAGCACCATCCCACCTGGGTTTGGAGGTGTGTGTGCTTCTGCCCCAGCAGCCTTTGAGTGCCCCCCTTTGAATTCAAACACCTAAGCTGTAGCAGGATTTTATTATTTTTTTCTCCATTAGGAGTTACTCTGTTACAAGATTTGTTCAGGGACAAATCAACCCCTTTCTGCACCTACCTATGTAACCCGAGCTGCTTCTGCGCTGAAACAGGACATCCACAATCCTGTGCGGGTCTTTGTCCTCAGGCAGCTTGGCAATTGTGTCCCAACATGGCAGACCTTTGCCCGTGCTTCAGATGACACCCTGTGAGCACTACCACTGGCAAACCATCCCTGGAATGGCGTCTCCAGGACCTTGATGCCGCCCCTCTGCGCCCCCAGCCCCTGCCCAATGCCTGCCTCTGTCTCCTGCCAACATCATGAGGAGTTATGGGAGGGCATCAGCAAGAGCCAAGGCCTCTCAGAGGCAAGATGTTTTTGTAACCATCAATCCCACTTTAGTGGTCTGCTGGTCACGTTGCTCTGCCACCTTGGTACCACTTGACCCAACATCTCCTTTCAATAGCCTCAAAGATCTCAGCTACGTATTCGGTTTACAGATTTAATACCCGCCCTGCAGCTGTTCAAGCTGGCCTGAACACACCTGATGCAGGAACAGGCTGTTGGCTGAACCAGCCTTGACCTAATGATCATACGCAATTTGTTTCCCATCTATAAGCATAACAACCAACCCAGGTTTGAAATCTCTTCATACCTTTGTCAAGCTGACCCTCACCCACCAAGATTTGGATAACCATTGCTTGCTTCTCACTCCTCCCTCTGCTTCCCCATGATTAAAGGTGCCAAGCTGTTGAGATGGCAGGAATTTGGAGGAGCTTGACGCCATTTCCAGACCACTGGTTGTTGCTGGTTTTGTTGCCAGGTTAGGTCACCCCAAAGATCTCGACTTTAAACAGTACTGAAGCGCATAAACTGAAATACTGTTGTATCACCTAAGATTGCCATCCATCAGGTATTGTTTCTTCCCCTCTAAAAGCCTTGATGGATACAGACATAGGCAGATCTTCAAAGGTACTTAATAGTTCCTTAAGATTTTTGGTGGGAACTAGGTATGCAAATGCTCTTACACACGTGGGTCTTGGCGTGTCAGGAGCAAGCCATCAGTGTCTCTGGCCCTTACGCCTCCCCTCCCAGCTCCATCTGCCTCAGGTTGCTAAAAACGTCCAGAACTCTGGCTGAAAGATATTTCCAGAGAGGAGCAGGCCGGGGGGTGGGGGTGTCTACCGAAAAACTGAGGTTGATGAAAGCAGAAATAAACGCAAGAAGACTGACTCATACTTATTTACATTTTTGATGGAAAGCTCTGCACGTCATGCCCATTTTGACTTCTCAAACTTCATGCGCACTGTCTTCTGTGCCAGAGTAATCCTCCTTTTAGAAAAAAGCATTCCGTACTGTGCTGCAAGGCAGAGCAAGACATTTGTCTCCTCCGATCCCTTTCAGGGCTTGCTCTGCTGTCCGTTGCATGGCAGCAGTAAGAGCTGGTTGCTCTGTCACTGTATTCTCTGAAGCAGTCAATGCAATGGTCTCTCAGAACTGGTAGACATTGTTCCAAAGACTTGATTTGCTTCATTTTGGCATTTCCACAGTCATCCTTTACATATAATTCATTTTTTTTAAAATTTAAAATTATTATTTTTTATTTTGCTGGTCACTTCCATATTGCTTCATTCAAAATCCAGAAAACAGTTCAAATAAAATCAGAGCTTAAGTGCAAACTAACTTTCCAGTGAATCGCTATGTGCGTTTTCTCCAGTCCAGTGTCTGTCTTCCAGTTTAAAGGACCCTTCCCACCACCACCCCACAGAACACCAGCAGACTTCATGACCCATATCAAACTCTCCAGTTCTCCGTCTTGTCCTCAGTGTTGCCTGACAGCATCCCCAACTCCCTTCATGATCACGAAGAAGAAAAAGGGGGAGGAATTTGGGTCTTTTCATGTATCAATAGTTAGCAGGTATAAAACGGGAAAACAAAGCTTTTTGCATACAAATCTTGGTTTCTTGGCCTGTCTTTTAGCTTCAAAAAGAACATGTTGGAGGTGTTGTTTTGTTACACTCTTCTGAAAAGGGTTTTTGTGTTTAAAGTGTTTGTCATGTTGGCACAGATACAAAAATGGTCATGTCATGTACCAGTTCTGAGCTGGTGTCTCTGCGGTTAGGAATTGAATTGGCACAAAATCATGGTGTGGCTCAGAAAAAGGGTTTAGCTGTATGTTAGAGTCACATCAGCATTTCTTGGAAAGCCACGATGAAGATCTGAACGATTATGAAAAGCCAGGTTAGCCATTTCCAGTTGCTGGGATAGAAAGTGATAGAGAAAGAAATTGGATTCTCAATCTCAATTACTATGCTATCACACATGATATAAAAATTGTCCATTTTTCCCCCTAATGGAAACTGCATTGAGATTTCCAGGAATGCTGTACAGACTCTCATCAGTTCCTGCTGCAAGAACCAGCCTCTCTGTGGCTTCCCTACAGCGTCTGTCTGGGTTGAATCACTGAGAACTAGCTCAACAGCAGGCAACACTGCCGCTGGCCTTTACTGGTACTGTCTGGCTTCTCTGACCGTCCGACCCTCCAGATCTGCGGAACGTGAGAAATGCCAGGTTGTACATGCCTTCTTTCAGTCTCTTTCCTTCCTTCCAGGTTCCCAACCCAATCTGCAAATTACTCCAAGACATTTTTCACTTGGAAATATCAAAAATGAGTGAACTGGCAAGAAGAAGCAGCTCATGGGAGAAAGAGAGAGAGGGAGGGAGGGAGGGAGGGAGAAAAGGAGAGGGAGAGAGAAAGAACGAGGCAGCTAGAAGGGGTTGCCTTTCCACTTCCGTAAGACCGCAGTCACTACACCACCGTATTTCGGTGTCTGTAGGGTGGCGGGGGCAGCACAGTGCCAGGCTTCAGGGAGAACTCGGAGAGGTATTCAGGATTCTCTGCCACAATGGGCCGGATCCGTCCGTTCTGTTTGTAAAAGTATTTTGTGCTGTACTCTTGCAGATAGTCCGGGTGCTGGAGGGTGCTTCGTGGGGGCAGGCTGTGATTCCAGTAGTCTGGGTTGTCAAAGGCCTTCTTGGCTTTCTCCGGCAAATTGTTCTTCAGGTACTCGGCATTTTCCAAGGTGTTTGCAAAAGTGTTGAGGTACAATGGCTCATTCACATACTCATCCTCTGCTTTGGGCTGCCCGTTTGGAGCGTTGTGATACTCTGGGTTGTCCACAGCTTGGAGATCTCCATTCTTTCGTCGGGAAACAAATGGGTTCTCTTCCACTGGGTTTAGGTAATCTAAGGAAAGATTAAAAATAAATCAGCAAAGAGAGGGAGTAATCCACCCAAGCCTCATGTGTGCATTACTACCAGGCTGTACCAGAAGCAGTACTCGGACTTGTGCATCCTTCCACCCCAACCACTCATGCCAGCAAAGCTGGAAACTAAACTACAGCTCTTGCTGAGCCATAGCCCATGTGCCTTGTTCGGTTCTGAACTTCCTCTCAGAGTATGACCTACAGAGCCAAACATGCCAAGTGACTTGCACCTCTCCTGCTGACTCTCTCAGCAACCTTGGACATATCAGTCAAACCCTCTGCTCTGCAGCCTTTCCATCCAGAAAGCTCTATAGAAATCTTAGTTAAGCCTCTCTGCACAAAAACCATCCCCAAGGGCTAACTTCTAAGACAGCTTCATTTCTAACAGAACAATTTGCCTGATTAAAAACCTTCCATCCCTGAAGGACAAAGGGCCTCGAAGCATTATGAAAAAAATGATTCAAATGAGTCCTGGAAAGAGTACAAGAGAGTCTTACATCAGCTCCAAAACAGGACTTGGAGCAGGTTACAGTTGCTTCAAATCACTTTCTGTGGATTAACACCACAAAAAATTGTACCTGAATTGCAGAAAGGTTTTAAGGCATATGGAGCTTGTATGGAAATCTAGATGGGGGTGGAGAGGGAAGAGGAGCATAAAGAGACTGGCTGTCCCAGGTTAAAAACACACCCTTAGTAAGCTCCCTCCCACAGTCACACAGAGGTGACTGAGACACAGAGCAATGGATTCGTTGGGTGTCATGTCATGCCTCGTTCTGTGCATAATGAGGTCTCACTGCAAAACACAAAACCAATTGGCCAGGGTAGGAAGGAGGCTGCTGACGCTTCAAAGGGCTGCAAAGGAAATGGCTTGGAGGTGGGCTGGGGACAAAAGGAACAGGGGGTGGGACCCCTGCAGCAAGATAGTCAAAAGCAGCTGGTTCATTCAAGGCTGGAAATGATCAGATCAAACCCACTTCCAGTATTAATTCTGCCCTTCACCTCACAGCCTAGAGGTCCCCTAGAACTCAGGGTCCCCAGGCCACTGTCATTAGTGAGGGACGACCTCTCAGCCTGCCTGTGCTGCACAGGGATGCTGACACAAGACCTCCATCTCAGGTAGCACGGCTCCTTCCCTCTCCACGGAGACACTTCCACACAGAGTCCTGCCCGCAAGGAAACAGGCCCCACAGCCAGAGTAGCTGCAGTCCTCATGTCAACTCTGGTTTTATTCAGGAAGGGGCTGAAACTATTAAATGCAAGGGTTCAAGACTTGGTGAGTACCTTTGACCACATAGCTAAAACTTTGCTGACTCTGAGAAGTGGAACAGGCACGCGTGCCCGCACCAACAGCATAGTGGAAGCATCTTTTTTGAGCAATGACAACTAAGCAGTGCTTTGATTTGAGTCCCACAGCTGACAGAAAGCATGCAGCACCTCGGCCACACTGTGACATCCCTGCATCTGTGCCCAGGAAGATGGGAAGGAGGTGCTTTCTCCTGAGCTGCTGCTAGCCCAAGGGCTCAGGTAGCACCTGTGAAGTGTTAAGCTCCTCCACAACTCTGAGGCTCTCCGGGGTGAATCTGTATGTGAAGATATGTGTGGGCTCACACTGAAACAAACCTACAGCATCAAATCTCTTCTTGCAAGGGCTGTTGCTGAAAAGCGGGGCCGCAAGTGCACTCCCACAACTGCTGCTGCCATGGATCAAGCCCCAGGACTCCTTGCATTTCCACCATGTAACACAAAGAGTACGTGGCTTCCAAATTCTGAAGCAAACCCAGTAGTTACTTGGCATTTACATTTGCATTAATTAATTTCTTTAAAGATGATGCAAAGGTTTGAAAGCAAATTAGTAATGACACATCCCCTTACATCTAAATGACTGCTGTCACTATTAAAAAGGAAGAAACGAATGATGGCAAACTGGGAAGTGTAGCACTCTGAGCTGGCAAAGATCTAGGCAAACTTCACCTTGCAGTGATGGTCTCTCTGAAGCACATCTTGTTCTTTCAATCCCAAACTTCTCTTGGGTATAAAATGTCAACTGTGTGTATCAGTTCTGTGATATGTTCAACATGACATTTACCAAGCACAATGCCATGAAGATAAAGAAGATCAATAAACAAAGCAAAGCGGAGACTATGGCTAGCCAAAGATAGATCCTTTTCTTGGAAATAACTGAAGATTTGTGTTTGGATAAGAAGGTTTGGGTTTTTTCATTCCTTTCTCTTGTTATTTCCCAGAAAGAAAAGTTAAAGGGGGGGATTACTAAACTTGGCATTTTGGCACATTTGAGCTTTTCTAAGTAGCAAATTAAGCAAAGAAAAATGAATCCCTATGCAAAGAAATATTAACCAAGTCAGAATGTTTCAACCTTTCTGGGTTGTTCAATAAAGCCATTTTTGGTGAAAAGCTGCTGATGTAGGAAAAGAGAGAAAGCAATCGGAGTAGAGCAGGAGCTTCTCCAGAAAGACAATTTTTTACCTGTTTTAGCTTTGTCTCGCATCGGCGTCATGTACCCATCCTCATCCAGCTCTCCTCGGACGACCCGCTCGGGTATGAAGACCGTGGGATCAGCGCTGTACCTCTGGGTGCTGCTGTCCTCTTTTGACAGGGTTGCCACTTGTTTTCGTAGTGTGCCATTACAGCAAGTATCTTCAAAGATCTCTGCTGTGGCCCCTTGAGCAACTGGGGCTTCTGGTATTATGCAGCCAGGAGCTCTGTATGGCATTGGCACCTCTGCAGCATAGCCACCATCTCTATACACAAACTGGTTCTGTTGAAAAAGAAAAGACAGCATAAGAAAGGAGGCTCCAAAGGGAGAGAAGGTTCAACACCAAGTCATCTCTGCGGCTCCCGTGCCTTTCCTGCCACACTTGCTCAGTGATGCACGTCACCAGGCAGGTGAAGCCTTGTCCATCCTGCAGACTACTGCATTTCCAGCGCTGCAGGATCGGCAGCAGCACAGGCTCTGTTGTGGACCAGCAAAACGTCTGTCTGCCCAGTGGTGCTGAGCTGACTTCCCCTCCCAGGGAGGCACCATCAGTGCAGCGAGGGAAGCAGGGAAACAAGCTGGTTGTCAGGGCTGGAAATGGGGCTAGAAGTGGGGCAGGAAAACTTGTCTCCTACCTAGATGTGTGGAGGTTGGATATACACCACTGCAAGAGGCAAACACTGTATCTCCTCTTCTATTACTTTGGCAATCTCCCCTGATTTCTGAACAAAACTCTTAAACCTCATGTTAGGGAAATCCCCTTTTGCAAAGAGGACTGGGAATAGAGAACATTCTCATCTTTGAACTCTCCTTATTTCTGGGGGAGGGTACTTTCAGGGTATCCTCCAGGGACAATCACACAGTCACCCAAACACTATGTAATTCCATCAGGTAGTGCATTTCAGGCTGGTGAACTGTGTTCATATTGGTACCTCAACTCTATTGTTCAACTCAACCTACCATTTTGTTTGTCAGCAAAGGCGTGCAAGGAAATTTCGACATCATGACCTATAAATAGGAAGGAAAAATGTACAGATTCATCCAAGCCTGTTACTTAAATGCTTTTTCAAGAAACGTTGGCAGCTGGCAGAATTGTGGGTGTGGGTCCACAGAGCTCGCACACGAATCCAGGCTGAGTGTAGAGATCCTGACTATTTGATGGCTTACATACACACTTCATTCACTGTTGGGTTTTAGGCCATTTATGTAGGAAAAAGGGATTTGAAACAGAAAATACGTAGTGAAGGAAGGAGGAAAACCTAAAGGATGAAGGTTGAATGTGAAATACTTACTCCTGACATAGGGGTGTAGGCAGGAGGAGGGCTGTGTCCAATTTCACTCTAATAGGAAAGAAAAATGGAATGATGGATATGTAATAAGAGGTCACATGAATGAAACAAGTAACATGAGCTGTATGAGCTAATGGGAGAAACATGCACATCAGTTAGATTTCCTAACTGAATCCAAAATTCAAAGAATTCGATCATGGCAAATGTCTCACCAACATCAACAAGCTGTGTGCCTCACCAGTCTTAGGGAGGGCCACTGAGTTCCTCTTGTTGGGTAAGGGCAAGTGCCACGTTACACCTGCTGACAGCTGTATATCCTGCAAATGTCTCATGTCTAATTTTTGGAAGGGCACATTGTGCAGAAAGAATGACAGATGGTGCACTCAACTTCAGAGGAAATACAGGGCAGAAGAAGTGCAGAAAGTGTCTAGCTCCAAGCCAAGGCTTCCTCTCCAGGGACGAAGCAGGAGAGGGATAACCAGGAGGGCAGGAGGGTGCAGGACTGTCGTTAGACTGTCACAGCTAGCTGAAGTATCACAGGAAAAACAGTGCCTAGGCTTTGTTAAACCCAAATAGCACAGCAGCTGCTGGATTTCGAGGCTCCAACGTGCCATGGTCCTGCTCTCAACATATACCACCTTTCTAATGTTACCTCTGTGTCACAGGCTAAGGGGTTTTACCAGAAGTCTGGAGGTTGTACATCAGTGTATCCATGTAGAGATCTTCACTTTGATATTGGCTTCTGGAACCATCCTACACTGCCCTGTGGACCTTGAACTGCTGTAACATCACTAGCATAGCAGCTGGATTTATACCTGTTACTATTGCTCAAAACCAGCCTGGTTTTCATTGAGGAAATGCTGATTTTTGGAGGAAAATAAAAATAAAACAAACAACCCTTTATTTTTCATGTATTTTCCTACTGTCAAAATGTTATTTTTTGAGACTACAAGATCAGTTATTCATAATTACTTTGTTTCTCATTTTGTTTCAAAAACTTCATTGTAATTCCCTTATCTCATAGTTGAGGGAGAGAAAAAGTCAGGGTTTGAAAAAATTTGAGAAAAATAAGAAGGAAAAACCCACTGCCTCAGGAAAGAGGTCTAACCACCCTGAGAACACTCCACTTTAGAAGATATCCAATTCGTAAAAATCTGTTTCAAAAACATATCCACACCAAGAAACATACCGAAATTCAAAGAAAAGACGACATGCATCCTCACATAGTAAAGACTGGATGTACTACACTCAATCTTTCCCTTATAAACTTCTTGCCAAAACATCAGGATGGAGATGATGGTCACTGTCAAGTATTTTACTTTATAAAGGAATGTTCTGGGTTTAAGCAAAATACCTGCATCAGGAAAAACCATAAAAACAAATACAAACTTTTAAAAATGCACGCTGTCTGTCTGAAGACCTTTTCCTGGTGATCAAAAACATGCTCATTTCCTTCTATTTGAAATATCCCACAGCCATTTAGTTGCTCAGATCTAGCACCTCGTGTTTGAGATGTAAACGTGGTGATGAGGCATAGTTAGAGATACAACTCTTCTCTATCCCTGTGAAAATTCATGATATTTAGCCAAGTTATGACCTAAAAAAGGCTTCAGGCTGCAAATTACAAAAGTGCAGGAAAACCTTTGTTAGATGAATTTCTATCTGCACCATCCATTAGCAAGGCTTGAGCAGGACTCTCTCCGTAGTCGTTTGTCTGCAGGGAAACTAGGTGCTGGAAGGAAACATAGGAGAGGATCTCATGGCCTCAGTGCCCTGGGGAGGAAGAGGAAGACGAAACAGCAGTCTGGGCAGACAGCAAAGGAGCTGAGAGATCTGCAAGGAAAGTGGAGCTGGAGGAGCTGGCAGCAGGGATGGTCAGGAGCCAGGGAATGGTGGCTTGCAAAGGAACAGAGGGCAAAGGTAAGTGAGAGAGACTGTGAGGTGCAGGGAGGGAGAAAGGGTTGGCATGTGACAGGAGGCTGAGTAGGGAGGGAGAGATGGTAATAAGACCTAAATGTGACAGGGAGAAATGGGAGGCACAAGGACAAAAGATAGTCTGAGAGCTCTGAAACAGCAACTTCTCCAGAGGCTGGAGCTGAACTTGAATGTCCTCTGTTGCCAGCAAATCGCTCTTGAATCAAATGGCCAAATGCAGGCCTGGTTCAGCTGGTGCAGAGGGAGCTGAGCAGCTGCCTGTCCACCCTTAGCACAAGTGGCAGAGCTCTGCCTTGTGCAGCCAGTGGCAGCTCCAAAGGCTCTGTGCATGGGTACTAGGGCTGAGGGAGGAAGGGCCAAGAGGGCCGAGACACCACTGCAGTCTCGGCAAACTGCGACTGATTTCACTAAGCTTTCACCAAAGAGCTTGTTACGTTTGAAAAGCAGAGCTTAAATTTAAGCCCTAGGCCTGGGAACATCTTTGTCCTCTCTGACCCAGCTGTGGCTGCTGACAGTCAGAGAAGCGAGGATGATGCCAACTGCAAAAAAAAAAGTGCCATCTAAGGCAGTACAGAAAGAGATGGCAGAGGGCTTGGCTGGATCAGTCTGGAAACTTCAGTGCTGCCCTATCTGTGCATGGTCTCTTTTTCTTACTCATACTCAGAACAACAACAGCCAAGAATGGTTCTTCCTTCCCTGCTTCTGCACCTAAGTCACCAGTTGCCTGGCTGAGAAGATCACACTCAAGAGAGAAGATCGGAACAGAAGAGAGAAAAGAAGACACTTTACCAGAGATTACTTTTTTGAAGGGAACAGATAGCAATACACACCTGGATGCAGACTGTGCAGCAAGCTTGTAACTTGGCAGTCTTCTGTAAGAGGCTTGTTTGGGACTATTGGGAAAGTCCCTTTAAACAGGGAACACTGTGGAAACCAGAGATGCTCTGATTGCAGAGGTCAAACCTCCTCTGGCCCCCCTCACTTCTCTTTTGTACCACAGATTTACTGTCAACTTGTAATAACACACGGGCAGGGACAGGTTACAATCCAGAAAGTGTTAGACAAATGGATTAAAAAAACATTCCCTGAGCCTGCCAGATGCTACTTTGAAGTCCTACTGATGGCTATAGGATGTTGCACTGCAGGACACTTAATCTGCCTTCTCATTACTCTCTGACCTCGTATTTACTTTAATTCAGGGAAGCTTTCTGTCTACTCCAAAAAGATGGAGAAGGAAACACTGAAGACAGGTAAGTAGTAAGCTTTGGTCCATGGAGGGTGGTGAGGATTTAGGCAAACTGATGATCACAGATAGGATGGAGAGAAGAAATACAAGTGGTGACTACAGAGAGTCAACTCTCTTAACAGTGAGGAATTCAAAGCTCTGCTGGGAATCCTCTACCTCCTTGTAAAGCTCCCCAGCTTCCTTCACTGCCACCTGCAGGCTGTGAGACTCCGAAGAGGGGGTTTGCTGCTTTTGGTTTCCAAAGTGGCTGCAGCCCTCCACAGTGCACAAGAGTGAAAAGAGCTGTAGCAATACTGTGTTGGTATTAAATGCAAGGGAGAGGAGTTCGCTGCTGCCTGAACGAGAAACATGCATCTGCTTTTCACTGACACTAAACCACTGACTGTAACCACTCCTTTTCTATTAGGTACTACACCGTGCTGTATTACGTACCTTTAATTTACATCTTTCTATTTTAAGAGAGGCACTCCCATGAATTTCAACTTGTGCTTCATTGATTCTGGATGAGTAAGGGGAGAGCTGTCTTGAACTTTTAGTTCACAGCCCACAGTGATCTCTTAAGGGTAATTTAGAAAGACAAATCTTTTGTCAACAGGCTTGGCTTCAGTACACAGGGCTATGCTCCTCTGCCAGTAAATGTTTAGAAGATTAGCAACTTAAAAAACCACTGTGCTAGGATGGCCACATTATCTATCTGTGGGCATGCTTTGCTCCACCCTCATCACAAAAGGCTAAACCCACCGTCCTATCTTTAGATCTCCTTGGCTGTGACTCTAACATTTAAATACACAATAGGCAACTATAACAACATA